GATCCCCCTTGCAGGAACCATGGGATCGAGGTTTTGGAGTGGGATCGTCACCCTACCCATAAGGTTCCCTTAACTATGCCCCAACTTCATTGATGCCCTTCTCCATCACTTGAAATATGTAATGGGCATCATGACTATAATCAAAGGCATCAATAGACCTTCAAAAAGCAGTTCTTAAAGGACAATTCACCAGCAACTTCATATGTCTTCTTCTCTTCTTATCACTTCAAGTATCAGTCGTAACATAAACCCCATACTAAGCCCATGCATCTGTCTGTGTCTCCACAATCTCCCTTGTGACAATCACTTCCTTTTTCAAGAGAGGCTCTGAAAGCTCAGATGGGGTTGGGAGCTTCATCCCAGGCCTAAATTGCCCAATTGCCTCTACCAAGGTGTAAAGGCTGCTTAGGCGAGCGGCATTGAAAGAAATGCCCGCCTCATAAAACCATCAAGCAATGTACTGTGGAGCTCAATCTCTCTCTTCCTTTTTGATTCTATACTCGAGAGTTATTTGCTTCTTTGTTTTCTCTCCTGCAACCTCAGGGTTAGGCCGAGACAAAAAACAATCCATAGGCCCTCTAACCCAAGGACTCTTAGGTCTCCCACTCCCAGAACCAAATACAACTCCCTTTCCCTTCCCCTTAGTCTGGGATACAACAAGCTGTTTCACCTCTTCACACCTCTTGATCGCTATTATCATCATCAAAATTGACATGAACCCCATACCTCAGCTCTGTTATGGATGCCTCTCTCCTCTTTTTTCTTTTTTACAATACTGATATAATTTTTTTTATCTCCTCTCAAATAGCATCAAGAACTTTTTTACATTGGTCAACTTCCCCCCAAAAACCCGGCAAGATGTTTCTTAAACCGGTTTATGCCCCCATTTGTATCATTTTCACAATAATTTCATATTATACAATTTTTCTCCAAAAGCTTCGGGTTATAGCCATATTTCCAACCTGGATCACCACTTCTATTAGATCCCGAAGTAGACATCTTAAAATAATAAACAATTTTAAAAAATCAAAATTTTCGCTAACTTTGATTGCTATCCACTTTTGAGATGTTTTCTAATCTCAAAATCTTCTAAAAGACCCTCTATAATAGACCTATAAAACCTCAAAAACTAAATCTAATCCCAATGGGTGATGTTTAGATCGATTTCTTGTAACTTTGAGAAACCCTTTGAATATAGTTTGTTGAGGTTTCTCTCTCTCTAAAATGCGCTCCAATGAGTTTAGGTTTGAAATGAACCTAAATCCAACCTTTTCCCCTCTTATTGGTATAGAACACCCCAAAAAGGCTGCTCAACGAGGGGCACTTTCGCCCCTGGTGGGTACCCAAGCGCCTAGGCGGCCGACCTGGGGCAGGCTGCCTATTTTTACTGCCTAGACCTGGGCAAGGTGCCCATTGGACAGCCTAGTCGCTGGGCGGTCCGCCTTTTGGAACAATGATTTTTCTACTTGATGCATGCAGCCATTATCACATTTTTTGTGTCTATATAGGAATATAGATGCAAGTATGTATTCTATGTGTATGCATCTTTGCGTGTATGCATAAATATACGATATATATCTATTTCATCTTAGATATGTATCATACAAATGCTGTATGTCGTAGGGAGGCTCTAGGTATATTTAATATCGTAGTTATCCTTTGAGTATCCGATGACCTTTGCAACTCTTAGAAATATTCATTTCTGGATTGCTGGACTTAATTTTAAACTGAAAAATGACATGGTACTTTATCTACAGGGCCTGCAAACTTGCTTGGTGGCTTTGTTGTCAAGGTATGTCGCACTGTTGACTAATTTAGGTGTTCTCTTTTTTATGGCATATATTTTTGCAACTTGAATATCTTCTAGGAGATCTGTTTCCTTTATTTAGTACAATGCTTTAAATAATCCTATTAAAAGAAAAAAGGGAACGTCTGCTATAATTCATTGGACTACGGAAAGACCATTATCACCAGCCATTGAAATAATGGATGGCAATGGAGAGGGATTGGGAGTCATTATTGGGGTCATGTCCTCTTTTGGTGGGTCTAACTAGCTTCTTTATCGATTTAATTTCACCCGATGGTGATGACCAACTATGGCTTTTTCATTGTCCTTCGGATTATTAGTGTACTTTTCCCCAATGAGAAGTTCAATGTAATGATTATTTTCTTTGTGTGTGAATGTCACTCTTAAACACACACAAGCTTTTCTACATGCATCATCTGATGGTATAAGTGGCTTTCTACTTTTTTCTGAAATTTGTCATATACACAAAAATGTAAATCTGCTTTGGGTTTTTAGTAGCAATTTTGTTGTTACAAGAATCCCTTTTAGGTAAACAACTTTTTTTTTTTTTTAGTTTTAAACATTTCTATTATAAATCACTTTTCTTTTACTTTGTTATCAGGAATTTCATATATGTATGCCAAGTGCGTAGTATAATTGATGACCTAATGAATTTCAGGTGGTTTAAGCGAGCTGGACATTCATACATAAAAGTGCCCTTCTTTGGAGCAATTTCATACCTTACATTGGCCATTTCTCCATTCTGCATAGCCTTTGCTGTAATATGGGCAGTTTATCGGCGTATCTCCTTTGCTTGGATAGGCCAGGACATACTTGTAAGTGCAACTTCTCTAAATCCACTATGGTTCTTGAGTCTTGCATTCGTTTCTTTGCTCCACTGCTATGTTTGTGTACTACATAGCATGTGGTTTATATATTTCCTTTTCTACCCTTATTTTCTGATTCTTTATACTTATGGTGTTTTCTAGAAGAGTAATGATCCTATTGGACCCTCCACCAGCCATGTGTGTAGGACCCCAAAGGATCACCATTAAAGTTGGCACCGATCTCTAGAAAAATTATCACATGGGTGTGGGACTTGATTTTTTTATGGATCCGTGCCAAATTTAATGGTGATCCTTTGGGGTCCTACACACCTGGGTGGGGGAGGGTCCTAAAGGATCATTTCTCTTTCTAGAATTAGAACCAAATTTTCTTTAATGTACCCATTATTGTTATCAACTCTTGGCTAAGATATGAAAGCTCAAAATCCTTTGAAGACTTAATACCCAAACCTTGACGAACATGCTTTTGCTTGTGGTGTTCAGATAGTATGTGAATTGGAAATTCTTGTAGTGGATAGTGCTTATAGTGGCAGTTACTAATTCACATGGATTATTGCAAAGACCAATCTTTACTCTGCGGTTGTTGAAATTTTAGCAGAAGTTTCTCTTTGACATAAACCCCCACAGGAAAAAAATAAAAGAAAAATCTGTTATTTGTTGAACTTTTTGAGCATTCCAAGATGTAGATACTTTGCACAGTAGACACAGCCTCTTTTATTTAGTTTTCTTGCATGATAAATATTATCTAAACATGATGCATGCCTTTTGTCTAAGAAGGGTGAGGACCTTAACTTTTCGTAAACCCACCCCAAGCCCGGGTAAAGGAGGTGGGCTATGTTAGGTAGACAACCAGCATAAAACTATACCAAAACTGTTCATGAATCCTGGATATACGTCATCTGCTCATGCTAGGGCGTTCCCCGTAGAGAAAAGATATGGAGACTTGTGGTCTCACTGAGGGTATGGCCCTTGATAGAGTAGAATGGTGGACCATGGTGATGATGATGTAAGCCTCTTTTGGTCATTGGCACCTTTATCTTATGTTTATTTATTTATTAAGAAGTGCAGCCTTGTTGGGAAGTATACCATAGTCCTCTGGTTTATGAAAAACCACAGTCCATTCAGGTCACCACTGTCCGATGGAAATGGAGGACAGTGATAAAGTGGGATCCACCAAAACAGGACATGACTCAAATGAGGACCCCTCTTTCTTGATCACTTTCCATTTCATAAAAGGGTCCCAACTCTGTAGTTCATTGGATTATTTCTTGCAGTGAGCAAAAAATTGAGATAATTTTTTATGAGCATTTGCGTTTCTATGGTCTTTGAAACCTGTAAGTTTTATATTTGGACTGTCTTTATGTACTTGATTTCTTGCACTTTCAAGAGTTACCCCAGAGTTGCTATGCTTCCCTTGTAACAAACATCAACTTAGAACTAAATGAATCATTTCTTACACTTTTCTTTTCAGGGTATTGCACTGATCACTACGGTTCTTCAGATTGTCCGCATACCTAACCTCAAGGTATGTATCATTTGGTTCCTCTCTGATAATCCTTAGAATATATCTGCCAATTGATTAGCTTTTGTCTGAATTGCTAGGTGTTAATCTCAATGAGTTTAGCTTGCATAAAGAAGAATATATTAATTCATGACTATAATTATCCTAATATTGAATGAAAATTCTGGTGAGCTAATACCAACCTGCTAACCTTAAGATGAAGAAAGGCCATCCTGGATAAAATTTCCCAACAAGAAGTATTATGAATAAAGAGCTTGTCTTAGCCATCCTTATGAGAGAAAGAATCACTCCTTTGAAGCAGTGTTTAAAATGTGGAACGAGGCTTGAAACTGGGCAGGGCCCCGGCCCTGGCCAAGTGACTTGGGCAAGTCCCGTGTTGGCTTGGGGGAGTCCTGTCTGAGAAAAAAGAAGCCTCATTTTTTAAGATTTTTTACTGAATTTTCAAAGACTTGGACATAGTCAAGTCAAACTCGGTCAAGACTTAGTTCAGAGTTCAGAGTTCAGACTTGGATAAACCACTTCTTGTTCATCTAGAATCAGCAGGGTGCCAGTTCTGAGTGGCATGGGTATGAGTCGGACTTGATGAGTTTCTAAACACTGCTCTAAAGAGAAAACAACGGTTGTTCTTCACATGCTGTAGTAGTTGTTTCTTATTACACTGATCTTTATGCATTTTGATAAATGCCATTACACTGATCTTTCAACTACATCTGTGACAGTCCTTTTTTCTTTCTTACGGTGTACATGTTTGCAGATTGTAGCCTTTTAAATTTCGCATCGGATTTTTTTCTTCATCTCACAAACTTCCTTTTCTCACAATATCGTTGTTTCTTCGATTTGATGTGGAGATCAGGTGGCTACTGTGCTACTCAGTTGTGCCTTCCTATATGATATATTTTGGGTGTTTGTGTCCCCCAGGTGGTTTCATGAAAGTGTTATGATTGTGGTAAGTTTTGGCAACAAAAACGTTTGGCATATATATATAATATTACATTCTTTTGTCAATTCATAAAAGAAGTGCCTTTCTTAGAGATTTTGCACCCTCTTAGGTTGCTCGTGGGGACAAGAGTGGAGAAGATGGCATACCCATGCTACTGAAAATTCCACGTATGTTTGATCCATGGGGTGGTTTCAGCATCATTGGATTTGGTGACATCCTTTTACCAGGACTGCTCATAGCCTTTACACTGAGGTTTGCTTTAAATGATTCTGCTGAACCATCTTATAAAGGGAAAGTTCACTCTAAACCAATGGGCTATGGTTTTCCGTAATCCATCAGGGTCATTCATCATCCAATGAAATGACTGAAAGTGATGGAGAGAGTGGGGCCCACCATAGGGACTGTCCAAGCTGTCATCATCCATTATCTCAGTGGACGGTGATGGATCTAAGTATCTATGGAAAACCATGTCCATTGGGTACCTGTACTTTTACGAATATCCTTTTGTGTATTAATGCCATTGTCGATTGATGAATCTAATGTGAAATTTTATTTTCCAATAGCCTGTGATTAACATGGAACAGTAACCCCATGTTGTGCATGAGGTTTTTGCTATAATTTCAGCAATTAAAGTATGTTTTTATCAATTACAAGATACGATCACAGGATTGTTTAGCGGCTGAGGCTTAATCCTGGGTGATTTGACTTGGATAGAAAACAGTAATGTAGAAGCGAGTGAGGAAGCAGAAATTTAATAAATCCTGTAGGCAATTTATTCGAATTCGAATGCTTTAACCACCTCAAAAAATCACTAAGTTGGGTCAAATCAACTAATTCACCAACAAAGTGGTTTAATATGATCATTTCACTCAATGTACCTCAAAGTCTTTTGTTTGAATATGCCCCTGCTCAAAGCTAGGGGTATTTTGGTAGTGTCCCTGCTCAGTGCAGGGGTATTTTGGTAATTTTCCCACAAAGCAAGGGAGCCATATTGCAAAAGTGCTGCCACTTCTTTGGGGTTCCAAACCCAGAAAAGAGAATTTAATGAAAAACTAGAACAAGTAGTGGCAGTTTCATCATTGAGCTCATCATTTAGCTCAGGTCACTTGAGTCGAGTGAAATGTTACTTATTTTGGGTTCCAAACCCTCAACAATGGATATTATGTAGAAACATGTTCTGGATTCGGAATCCAAAACAAGCTGGGGTATTTACAGCATTTCTCTTGGGCCACTTAGTGGAGCCAAGTTACCAAATTAACCTTTTTATATTAGGATTCCAAATCTAGAATAGGGGCAGTTGGGTATTTTATAATAAAATTGTTGAAGAGGTGCCTGAGTGAAATATTCTCTTTGAAGTTATCACTTTGTTGATAAATTGGTTGATTTGGTGCTTCAGTAATTTTTTGAGGTGGTTAGACCATTTTAATGATATTTTTTCTTAAATTAATGTTCATAAATGTAGTTTCTGATAATACAAAAGTGTGCTGCAATTCTAGAATTTCTTTAGGTTTTGATAAATGATTATTTACAGGATTCTGGGGTTTGATTCTTGAAAGATTGAGATTTGAGTAATGTAATTTCCGTCAAGTTTGGATAAATCTTCTGCGAGCAGTGTTCTGGGACTCAGCTTGGCTAAGGTAGTCAGCCCTTGGCTGAGGTGTGTTACTTAGGCAAGTTCGAATAACTCGCCGGAGTCCAGATTGTGTAAAAAAAATAAAAATAAAGACCAAAAAATTAATATATATTAAATGAACTTCCATTTTTTCATGTCAAACTCAATGACGTGATAGTTATTTGTGCCGCTGCTGGTATGTCTCTGTGCCAAAAGGTCTCGGGTTCCATCCTCAAAGGTGTTCTTTTTGGAGCTGTTTTTAGCTTGTAAAGAAAAGGGCTCCATCCTCAAAGGTGATCTTTCTGGAGCTGTTTTTTAGCTTGTAAAGAAGGGAAAGGTTTATATGCTTCCCCTACAGCATAGAAGATATATACTTCCAATTTAGATCAAGTGAACCACTAACCATTTAATCTTAAATCTGAAGCCTCAGAGTATTTTATTTTTAATTTTTTTTCTACATATGAAATTTGTTACGTCTAATTCAGATCAATTGAACCGCTAACTATTTAATCTAGATCCAACACCTCAGAGTATTTTTTTTTTTTATTTTCTACTAACTATATGAATATGAAATTTGGTATGTGTCATCACCTCAATGGGGTGCATCTTAATAAAATATTTAAACAATATTTTTTTAAAAAAAACAATGACCAAAATACCCCTGAAAGAGGTGCGAGTTCAAGAGAGGATTGGACACCCAAATTTTGGTGTCAATATTTTGTATAAAAAAAATTAAAAATAAAATAGTATTGAGCGTGACATTATGATTGGGGCCATCTAAGCCGTCCATTTAAAATGGACGGTTGGATAGGGGGAAGTATAGAAGTTTTATGCTATAGGGGATGCCTAGAAAGCTTGCGCTGTAAAGAAAAGGGCCTAAGTTTAAAAAATAATGTGGAAGTATATGTGGGGGTTTGAAGCCTCAACATGATGAGGGGTGGTTGGTTGGATAGGGGGAAGTATAGAAGTTTTATGCTATAAGGGATGCATAGAAAGCTTGCCCTGTAAAGAAAAGGGCTTAAGTCTAAAAAATAACGCGGAAGTATACGTGGGGGTTTGAACCCTCAACATGATGAGGGGTGACTATGTATGTTACCCAACAAGCACTTCACGTATTTGCATCAAAATCGACATAATAATATGCATAACATATATATACATGATGTACACCAAACTCAGGAAAAACACGCCTTGCCTCTACTCGGCCAAGTCCCAGAACACTGGGTGCAAGTTACCCCATTGCATGGGATATTAAGATTATTTGTTGAAACAATACTGTTATGTCTTATATTTTTTACCTGACTTTGGTTTGTCCTGCACATTACAGGTATGATTGGGCAGCTAAGAAAAATCTGCGAGCTGGGTACTTCTTGTGGTCAATGATTGCTTATGGTTTTGGTAAGAATTTGTTTGTTCTTAAAAATTTATCTATTTTCTTACTGAATGGTTAGTAAACGAGCTGTCCATGGAATTCAATGAGAAAGTTTTTAGGACAAAAGAGTGGACTCAGGTATATCCCATTACTTAGCATAGCTATAAATCCCAACTATCCTGCAAATTGCAGTTTGGGAATCTCCATGAATTTGAGCTGAAGATATCATGTCTATTTAAATTGACCACTCCATACTGCACATTAAATACGTCTATATATATATATATATATTATAATCTACCCAGAAAAACAAAAATAATCTAAAAAATCCAAGGCATTACAGTTTTCTCTCTAATTTTTGTCATCCAGTTTGATGACGCATCATCTGTACTATTTGTACCATTTGTACTATTGAAGCTTTAGATTTTTGGGGGTGTGGATTGGGAACTCTAACCAAAATTAGCCCCAAAATTCACATCACACTGGAAATCTCGCTCTCCACACGCACACGCACATAGGAGCCCTCATATGTTAATTTCAATTGGCATTGGACCTTCATGAAAAGCTTGGGTGATGATCTTTGCATTCATAGATATAGATGGCTCATGGCTATTATTGAGCAAATACATATGATGCTTATATGTACAGGCCTTCTTGTTACCTATATCGCTTTGAATTTAATGGATGGAAATGGGCAGCCCGCACTTCTCTACATTGTTCCTTTCACGCTCGGTATGTGGAAGCCATCTTTCTTTCTTGCTCTTTGCCAGCGTCACTATTCTCTTTATCCCTTCTCCCTCTCTCTCTGTTGCAGGTACTGTTTTAAGTCTGGGTAGAAAGAGGGGTGAGCTGCAAAATCTATGGACCAAAGGAGAACCAGATAGGGTGTGCCCACATATCCAACCCAACTGAGAGGCTAAAGAAATGGAAGATCTCTTTTTTCTCTCTTTTATTGGAGAATCCACGCCTTGTAATATCTTGTAATATCGTGTAGTTCTCATGGCAGATTAGTCAGTTATAGGATCATCAAGCTAAAAGTAAAGAATTGCTTCATGGTGCTTCAAAGTTTGATCTATAATATTCATAATATTTGCTTGTCAAATATGGAAGAAGCTCTTCTTTGTACAGCTATGTTACTGAAACCTCGCCGGGATCGTCAAAGGTGTCGATCTGGTTGGGAGTTCAAACTTTATTCAACACTTTTGAAAAATAACCATTTCATGTTAGCGAACTTACAATTTCGTGCCCATGTGTTTTTGGCAACGATGTCGTATTTCTTGTTATATAATGTACCACATTTATCTAAATAGGACGAAGATGTATGAATTTTAAGAGCATTCTTTTGCGCCTGCAAGACCACAAACTTATTCATTGGGGCGAAAGTGCTAATTTGGGAGGATTGTCCTTTTTTCCTTGAAAATTTTGGATCTATGAATCACTTTTCCAAAAGGAAAAAAGAAATTTCTAGTTCATCAGCACCTGTCTCACCCTCTAGAATTTAGATGGTTTTTGCTCAATCTTGGGATTTTATATATATATATAATTAACATAAAAGATATTATTTTTTAAAAACCTCTCACGTGGACCCAGTCAATCTTGGGGTTTTATAATCAGGTACATATGAAAGGAAAATTGTTTCACGCAAGGTGGACATTTCTACAATATGCGGTCGAGAGGTATAAAGCATCCATCTTTAAGATGGATGCAAATAGGTGGTCCATCTAAAAACAATTGTAACTCACAGTCTAAATGTTTTTCTTATATAATTATTATTGCTAGATTTCAATTTTTATTATATTGTTCATATTCATGATCTCCATGTTAAAGATTATATATTCTTTAAAAATTAAGATCAAATTATATTTAAAAATATATTTATTTATTGCCAAGCCTATATTTCTACAATATACAGACTGGTCGCATAGAAACTGCATCCCGTATGAAACGATGATTGACGCTCTATGAGATTTCCCACATTTTCCTGACTCCCCCCCGAATCCATGATGATGGATGGGGGTGGCATTCGTTCACTCGGTTTGTGGAATGATTAACGAACTTCGAGTGATTGAACGAACACACCCTGCCCATCCAATGTTGACATTAAACAGTTTGGGGAAGTATTCAATCACTTAGCTCTAAGCAGAGCTTACAAAACGAGCAAGCGACTCAAATTAAGAGGTGGATTCAGTTCCTGCTGTTTTTTTTTTCTTTTCTTCCCTTTTTTTTTATTGATTTCTCTACGAATGCATGAACCCTGGAAAGTAGATCGATCCCAATTGAATCCATCAATCGGGGATGTTCGAGTCGGCCACCTGACCCAAGTTTTCAAACACTGGTTCTACGAGCATGGCCATCTTGCAAGAGAGTCTGCCAAAGGCAAGGGGAACCTTACGAATAGGTGCTTGAATTAACACAACCCAATTATTAGTTGAGATCAATCACCCCATCTCCTAATCACTTGGGTACCTACAAGATACCAAGAGCCTCTCAGATGGGTTGGCCCGTCACTTCAGCAAGCGTGCACATAGGGCAAACACAGTTCATCAGTAGCATCAAGGAAAAGACTGATGAATTCATTTGATGTCAATGTCCGCTTGTTAAGGCCCTGTTTGGATAGACCATTTAATAAGAGAACGTCAATTTCTTCTTCACAAATTAGGAGTGAAATTATCCATCCATGCGACACCTTTACTCTTTTGCACCGCTTATTAAGAATATCTGGTCAGGTCATACTCTCTTTTGGCCATGTGGTCATGTCCCAGGGCTAAAGCTTTTTATCTCCTCAATTCAAATGTAATTCCAAACCTCACTTTTCTGGAGAAAGACTATAACAGTAATATACATTCATTATTTTCCGTTTACAATAAAGCTCGAGGAAGACATTTCTCTGAAACTCAAAAACTATTAGATACACCAACATTGGAAACAGACTCTAAACAACAAGATGAAACAAAGTAAAAATTAATAAATAAAAATTTAAAAAAATAAGATAAGCTTTAAGGTCATTTCCTTAAAGAAGTTGGGTTCCATAAACATGGTGAAAATTTCGACCTGGCCAACGGGGCATCGCGCATTTTAGCCAGAAACCCAAATCCCAGTTAGGATACATAGAGTTACATGTTAAACTTGTTAAAACCCACCGCCAATAAGTTTCCATTGGAAGTCCTCAAATGAGTCAAAAGAAGGGACTGAAGAGCCTTGAACTACATTAAGTTACCTCCAATGCAACACGCAAAATCAACGAACTGTAGAGAATTTTAACAAGTGGGTGGATGCATTGACAGCTCCAATTGAAAGTGGCCGGCATCTGAAACACCCTGCACTATAAAAAGGGGGACCACTCGCAAGCCAGGAACAAAAACAGAAGAGTACTTATCTTCTCTCAAAGCCATTGGGAACCTCATTTCGTTCCTTCTATTTTTTTATTTTTTTTCTTTGTTCTTTTTTTGATGGTCACAGAACATCTTCCTGATTTCGCCGCATGCTGCACACTCTAGACAGTTGGCTCGGAAAGGTTCAAGTTCGACCGAGTCCTGCTTAAATAATTCACATGTATAACATATAATTATTGTAATTTATTATAATTTAATGAAATTTTGTGAAGAGGAAAGATGCATGTTTTTCCAAGCCAAGCAAGAAAATAAACCAAACTAACAAAACAAAAATAGATAACTAGTTTGGAGGATGGGTCAACAGCAAAGGGTACGGGAAAAATCTTTTCACGATGGAAAAGGTGAACTATAAACCCCAAAAATGATAATAAGGAGAGGTAAACCCATGTAATAACAACCATACAGGCGGTATAGGAAGAAACCATACTTGTATATCTTCTCATAGATGCATCTCCATTCATAGACATTGGAACAAGCCTTCTCTCTGGGCCAGAGGAAAGAATTTCCTGCATTCTCTCAGGCCAATCTGAATTCAATCTCCTGGCGAAATCTTCAACTTCCCTGCATTCGAAGAAGTCATACCAGGCATTTCAGATGCATATGACAACAAGCATTTCTTTCTCAAATAGCAGCTTCTTTTTCGATATTTCTCAAAATAGCAATGCCCAATATTCTGAATGGACATAAAACAATTCAGTTCTCTGAGCAACCATAGTATCCCTCTACACTTCAGTTATTCTCTTCTTTTTTATTTCTCCCTCCTTTCCTTAATAAGCAAAAATTGTATTCTCTTCATTTTGTCTCTCAATGATCATTCTAATAAGCAACTTATCAAAAGAAGATAGAAACATCTAGCATATAGAGTAGAAGAATAAGGAAGATATAAGGCATTTTAGCAATGGCAATATAATCATGCATCACTCCGTCAGTCCTATCAATCCCTTATCGTGTCTACCTCGAAGAGAATTAACCAAGGATGTGTTCATTATGTGTCTAGTGTCTACACTTAAAGTAGAACAGGCTCAAAAAGATAATATCATATGTACTGATATAAAAGGCCATCAACGATTTATACATGTTCACAGGAACACGAGATGAATACCATACACTAAATAAAAGGACGGGCCTAGATGCATTTACACACTCAGATTAAGTATTTTCCCAATTAATATATTGTTAAATAGAATTACAAGTAACATGATTCATAAAAAGATGGATCATGTTCGCAAGGAGTGGAAAAAACAATAGTCCAAAAAAAATAAACAAAGGACTCACTGCATTCAAAAATAATTTATACACAACTGATGCCCCAGTCATTTAAATTTTTAACTAGAATTACAAGTAACATGATTCATAAACACATGGCTTTGTATTACAAATATTACAATTCAATGGATGGAAAAGGTTTGATGTGTATCATGTCATCTCCAAGTTGATTGAAGAGCTGTCATCTTTTAACAATATTCTCTTAGAATTGGAAGATCAAAACAAGCATGCACCACAATGTGTTTTGATAGGTGATTCAAAGGAGAACCACATTGGATTGTCCCTTCAGGCTGAAATATCTGATACCCACTTTTGTGTTGCTTTTCTCTCATCTTAGCTTCCCCCTTCTTAACTTCCATAATTGAGTCTTGCTTCTTATAGATACGACTATGTAATCATGATACAAAACTGATGTATACTTTATTAAAACTAAATAAATCAAAAACAAAATGCAAAGTATGAAAAAAGAAGAAAATACTCATTCCGAATAGTTGGAAAACAAAGTCCCACATTGTCCAAGTGTGATTTCATCTAATATGTCAGAAAACCATGGAGATAAAAATACTAACCAATCTCCAACCGTGCATAGTCCATTAATTCAGATTCTTCCTTATATTGAAACAAATATTTTTCCTTTAACCAAACTTCCAATAGGTCAATTGCCAACTTGTACACCCATAAGTGGCTCAAAAATTCCTCCAACTCTAGGAGTGGACCTTCTGTCTCCCACCTACAATATGTAAATGACAAACTTGTCTTCTGCAGGGCCAATCCTCTGCAAGTAAATGATTTTTGTTTGCTTATAGGTTCTTCAAGCTCGCCACTAGCCTAAAAATTTATCATAGCCATAACCAAATTATAGGGGTCCAGGCGACCCTAAACAAAGTTCAAGCTCTGGCAAGATGGGATCTTGCCTGGATGCACTACGCAAATATGTCTGGGCCTCCCTCTATGCCTAGGAAGACCTGGATAATCCCAGCGCAACAGTGTTGTTGAGAGGCTCAAACATAGATTGGCTGCTAAGAAGTGTAGATTCCTGTAGTTAGGTGGTCGGATCACTTTGATCATTCCACCCTATCCAACATTCCCATATTCCAAATGTCAATTTTAGGATGCCAGTTTCCATTGCCCTCAAGTTGGAAGATCTCACATGGGACTTCAAATGGAGTGCTGCTTGACGTGCACAGAAATTCCATTTGGTAAGAGGGGATACCTCGTGTAAGCCAAAAGATTGGAGGTGCTGGGCATCAGGAACCTCAAGGACCGTAAAACTGCGCTCTTTGGTACGTGGTGGTGGCGCTATGCCACCCAAGAAGGCTACCTTTGGCAACAAGTGATAAAAATAGATAAGGCTTTGTTGCTTCAGGCTGGCTCCCTATAGGGTCAATCAATGCTCAAGCCTCAAGCGCTTGGAAAGGGACTGCCGGAACCCATCCTGTTTTCTCTAGTAAGATTCATTTCTATGAAAAATCTGGGGACCAATTTAGCTATTAGAAAGATTTTTAGGCAAGTGCTCTCTGTAAAATGACGTTCCAAGTTCGCTTCCCATAACTTCAAATCAGAAGACTACCATCTCTTGATCTTATTAAGTGATTGGGATCAAACCATTGGAGTTCACATTTCAAGAGGAACCCTCGTGACTCTTTGAACTTAGGTGTCCTTGGCATGACACCTCAATGCCCACTTCTTACCCCACTCTGGTCGGGGACAAAATGGTTTGTTGCCCCTCTTCTACAGGTACTCTCTCAGTCTCCCCTTTCTACAATGCCCATAGACCCACTGACTAAAGCCCGTCACTGCCATGAGCACCTGGTTCATCCCCTCACCACCCAAACTCCAGGCCTTCAACTGGTAGCTATCCTACAACAAGGTGCTTCCTCTCGACCACATTCAGAAGAGGTGCATCCTTTTACCCAATAGGTGTGCCATTCGCGAAGAAAATAAGGAAGACCATCAATCATCTACTCATGCACTGCACAGTGGCCGCACAATCTGATCTTTCAACTTTAGCTCATTCAGAAGGGTGTGGGTTACATTGGAAATGGTCCAACAATATTTTGTCTCTTACTTCTGACCCCCATTTCCTCCCTAGAGCCTTTTGCTATGGCATACTTCATTTTGGCTTTCCATCGGGGCCATCTAGTTATTTAGAAATAGATGTCTTTGGGGATTTAGAAACCCACGTCAATGCTCTCAAATATCGAATCAAATTCACCATCATCTTCTGGGCCCAAAACCGTGATGAATTCACGGCTTATAACACATTAGACCTCAAAAAATGGAATCACATTACAAGGTCGAGAACACAATCTCCAAACCTTCCCACTGGATCCCGCTTTACCCTGGTTTCATCAAACACAACTTTGACAGGACCTCTCTCGGCAATAGAGGGCCATAGAGCACCTGGGCCATTTCTAGAAATCACTCTGCTGAAACCCCCTCAACTTTCTGAGGTCTAACAAGCATGGTAAATGGAATTTTTGCAGAGGCCAGGCTTTTCTAGACAGACTTCAGGGGCTCAATAGAAGCATGCGATTCTCAACCTGCGATAAATGGAGCCCGTCTTCGATCAGCTCCCCACCATTTACTGATCCCTACAAGTACTCCTAGCAAGAGGTGAATGTGTCTGTGATTCCCTGGCCAATTTTTAGTCTAATTTTATACAAACCACACACATACTACAATTTTCATCCAAAAAATTCATTAGATGTAATCCGAATTTGCACATTACTGACATTTTATCTTGATAAAGAAAGCCTTAAAATGATGAAACATTAACTTCTTTTTTTATGGTTAATGCAGCATAAACTTCTTTACGCAAAATTTGGATACTATGGAAACAGCTATCTTCACTCCCATTAATACACTCAAGGATTCCACAAAATGGAGACCTTGGTTCTCTCATTTTCCTCATATAACATGACCTTTCCAATAATATGGAGTGACACAAGAAACTCATTTCTCTTGCTCCCTAAGGTTTCTCTCAATTACCATGCAACACAACATTCATTGACATTTGTTTCATTTGTACCGTTGCTACATCTGTATTTCTGAGCGAAAAAAACTCATTTTCATCTTTCGAACTAAATAAACCACGTTGTCTCAATGGTTCATGTAGTAGGGCACAGTACCCAACATATACTCATACTGGCTACCCACCTACTATTCCTCTCTTTTCCAAAATAAGCACCCATAACTGCTCTCTGGCAGTCCCACACACAAGGGGAACACCAAGCATCAGAACACCATGCCATTCTAGCCACAGTATTCATAACAATTGCCATGGCTCCCAATCCAATAACTAAAGTTCTCTAAGAAAAGTAATTATGAAGAAAATAATTCAAATCACATAATGCAGGATAAGGAGATACATGGCATTGTTCAAAGAAATCTAATGCATGAGTATGCATGAGTAATGCAAATGATTCTATAAAAACTAAATATCGCAACAAATTTTTTCATTCACAGAACTAGAACAAGCTTAAGAACATATTACGGAGAGTTACACACCTATCAAGTTTTTCTTTCATGACTGGATCTAGTCCATCATCAATATCAAGATCCTCAAAATCAACTTTTAGTGAAGATTGGTCATCTATACACTGTGAGTTAGGATTCCTTCCAGGACTGGGGAGAAACACACTGCGATCTTCACTAGTTTGAGAACTAGTCCGTAAATTACTTTCCTGTTTAAACATAGGAATGAAAGAAGTAAGTTCACTAAATTCTTCGAATCCAAATTGTAATATACGCAATAAAAGAAACTGGGAAATATTATAGTAAAGACCTTGTTGTTTTCCTCGTCAATCTGATGGTTGCCAACACCATTTGATGACTGATCCTTTAATTGATCTTTTCGTCTCCGATTTTTCTTTTTTTGTTTTGTTCCTTTTATTCCCTTAGAGTCTGAAAACAAACATAACAGGAACAAGAATGTGTAATCATAACTATATGGCTTCAAATAAGCCCATTCAAAACACAAACATTATAAAAAGAAAGAATTGAAAAGCACAATATTGAACCCGCATGCATTTTATAAGTTAAAAATATTTTTCACTAGGAACAGAACACGATTGATCCCCAGTACGAGCTCAGCCTAAGAATAGAGAAAAAAAAAAGATGAGAAAATCTAGAAGGTTGTCCAAAGTGATGCAAGGCAGAAAGTCACAAGTTTCTCTCTTTTCTTTTGGGGTTTTTAAAATTTCCAGGTAGCAAGCTTCTATTTTCATAACAAACCAACTAAAAACACAAAAAAGAACGAATTTCTAAACAGATTGACCATATTAAACATTATAAAACATGTCGACCATATTAAATATTATATTACTGAAAACAACATCAGAAAACGAAGCAAGTCCAACTCAGAATTGCCAGAGAGACTTGGGATCAGCCATCTGCAGAGCCTAGAAGCCCCTCCTACTAGGGTGGAGGGATGATGTTACCCAACTCACCCAAGTTACTATAATAATTTGGGTAAGTTGTCAGAAACTAGAGAGTTTCAGCCTGACTCAACAAGTTTCTAACAGAGATATGGAGTTGGCTAGGCCCTGCCGAGTCTGATCAAATTTTTAGATCTTAAGGGAGGCAGAAAATTGAACCCACTTTTTCTTAATTTCTCCTAAACCAAGATTCGGTTTGCCTGGAAATTTTGGGCTAAGAGCCATTTTTATATCTTCTATTTATTTGGCCGAAGTTCGAGAACTTGCGATTTCTTCGCAACCTTAGCTCAATATTGGTTGAAATTTGTTACCGAGTCCAACTTTTAAGGTTCTATTGAGCCGTAGACTTATTTTCCACAAAAAAAAACTCAAAAATCTTATAAATCTGAGATCTTGAACATCTAAACATTATTTGGCCAAAACATTTCAAGAGCTTGGATCACCTAGATCTGAACTTCAATTACAAATCTAATTTAGGGGGTTTGATTTAAGGTATTTGAGGACCCTTCAGACAAGGGGAGGAATCAATTTACACCAAGCACAAATATTGGATGATCAGCCTCGAAATAATTTGTGCATGACAATAAAATTAACTTTTCATCATTTTCGATTCTGTATGTAGGTTTTATGATTTTTCCACGTTTCAATTTTTTATGATTTTTCCCATTTTCTCATGAAATTTTTATGGGCAACTTGTCCAGATTAGATAGGACTCACCGAGCAGACTCTCCCTTGGCCCCAAGTGAGTCCCAGAGCAAGTTTGAGCTTACCAAACTGATTGAAAAAGAAGAACAATTTTACAACTCCGAAACATATTGCGCTATCAGAGTTGTAGAAAAAACTGACAGCACATCATACTTGTCAAAGAAAAAAACTCTGACCGCAAATTGTTACCAAAACTAGTCAGGCCAAGATCTACCAATGTTAAAAACAAATAGAATTACATAACCACTGTTTTTACAATTATCATAAATATATAAACTGTGTATGAAAAAAAAAATTGGATGATAAAATTATATAACCATATTTGTGAACACTAAAACTACAGAAGAAACAAACTAAAGGGTACAAAACTACAAAAACTTTAGTTTCTTCAGCCACAGCAACTATATGATGCGATAAAGAGCTATCAGTAGTACTTCAAAGCAAATTGAGAGCCTCAAAATTCAAAGCCAAGTAGCAATTTTAAATCGCCCTACAAGTGGTCCATTCCTCCATTTTCAATTAATTTGTTAAGCCATACCCCACTATAAAATAAAAATTAGTAGTGTTATATTTCTTGCATGAACATAACAAGTATTTCTGTAAAGTTCAATAAAAAAATTTAAAAATTTGGTAAATAAGAACATGAAAATCACTGAACAGAGAGGACATGAAGCTTAAAAACCTTAAATGGTACACTAAATTCAAATTATCTACCCACCAAGAAAAAGAAAATCAAAACCCCATCACTAAAATCCTCAAAAGTACAATAATACAAAAGCCAATGTCAATTACCTCCGTCTCCTCCATTGATGAAGGAAAGAAGATCATCTACAGAACGGTCATCCACACTTGCCACTTCAACTTCAACAGACTAAAAAAAGAACATTCAATTACTTAGTACATTTTTACATAACAAGGTATCAAAAGTGACATCATCCGAATAAAGAATAAAGTGTGATGGAATGGGAAGTTCCCAATTCAACAGAGTAGAAGGGAAAAAAATCTGCATGAATCAACAGATAACAGATACACATATGCACAATTATGTGTAGGATCTAAATTATGTGTAGGATCTACATATGTAGAATTGCAACTGTATGTTCGAGATGGATGAAATTCTCATGTATTAAGTTCACTAATGTCCAAGATGGAGCACAAATTTTGCCATATGTGGATCTTATCATTTTTCACAGGTTTATCCAGCACTATAGCCATTGGTTCAACTGGTAGAAGGATAACAAAAATGGATTTGCAGAGCACATATACATAGAAAAAATACAACGTATAGGCCCATACAGGAAAACCCTGAAGAAATCAGACTTGACACAAAGAGTTATAACATCCACCTTCAACTTTGCCCTTTCTTTCAATTCTTTTCTCTTTCTAGCATAAAGTCGATTCAAGAGCCGAATACGTGGGTCATCAGAAGTATTTCTCAGTGGCTCTAGCTTTTCTTCCTGAAAAAGAACCCACTCTACATAAAGGCCAAGCCACATGACTAAATGATCATCTATAAACCAAATTCCCCCAAAACAACAGCAACCTCTGTGAGATCATCTGGTAAATGGAAAGTCTCACGTATCTCCTCGGGTGTTTTCCCTTCAATCATTCGAGCAAGGGCACGGCTCGTAAGATCAACCAAAGGTTTCAATTGGAGGCTGTCGGCTGCGGAAGTCAACTCGCATAGTCGTTTTGTATCGATTCGGATAAATCTTTCATCAAATGATTTCCGTTCCTACACATAACCATGAAATTTTAAATCACATCATTCACCATGACCTCACAGACAATGTAACAAAGGAATACATACAAAGGGATTTTATTTTTTCTTTAGTGTGGTCATAGGAAAACAAAGAATCAAGACTGTAGTAACAGTAAGGAAGTATGCATACACATGCAAACAAACATAAACTACCTTATTTGAACGGCCTGGAACTTGATGAAACCGGCAATAATCAAGAATCAAGCTCAATATGCTAGGATTAACTCGAGGTGGAAGTGTGATAGCATAGTTCTTAGAAGATCCCAATCCAGACTGAAGAATTTCTCGACATATAAATGGACAAAACATAGCAACCTCTTCTTCAACTTGTTGAATCGATCCATCAGCAGTTTGGAGCCAAATGAAGGACTTCATAACCTGTAGACACAAGTGTCAGTAAATTAGTGTTCCCAACCATTCAAATCCTTCTAAAATCCACTCATATTTCCACCAAAAATGAGAACCGGAAAAAGTCAATTAGGCAGCCATGCAGTTAGTTTAGAAACCAACGCATTGAAACAATATAAGATTACATCTACAAAGGTCTAGAAAGAAAAGGACCACCCCCAACTGTGAACAAGTGCATGCGTGTGCATGTGCAAACAACTGAAAACAAATAATAATACAGTTAATTTAGCAGCAAAGATTTGCATACCTCTGGCTTGATGATTGCCATCTCGTTCTCTGACATTTGCCAGCAATTACCAGTTGCATACGATTAGAATAACAATATGAGGTAATGAACCAATCTTGAACTTCACAAATATCTAAGGTGACATGCCTCACAACATACAAACAGTAATCCTTAGCAGCACACAAATAAGTTGGCCTTTATCACCATAAAAGCTATCCATGGAACTAATTTCAGGAACCCATTAATCACTCAGACTACAACTACACCAACACTGTAAATGCTTTTCCATTCCAGCTTTAATGCTCTTCCACTCCAGCATTCAAAATTTGGCTGAAATACTGTTAACCAAACCTGGCCAGAGACAAAACAGAAAATAATAGATATAAGCTAATTCTAATTGAAGGAATTTCAACCAAAAAAATCCTGAACACACAACAGAAAACAAAAGATAATAATAACTTTAGGCTTCCTTCCTATAAAACCACAAAAGAAAATAGAAGAAAAGAATAATAAAGTTAGACTTTCTTACTATAAAATCACCAAAAGCATGAGGGATTTTTTTTTTGGAGGAATATGTTAACAAAAAGCATGAGGTCTTTTGCAAAAAGAGAAGAAAAGCATGCTCACGATGATAATTTACATGTGTTGATCATCTTATAAACACAAAGCAACTGCAAAGACAGTACAAGCAAGCATGATCAACTCCTAAACATTAATCATAAATATAATATCTTCTAGACCAAACCACAAAATAATGACAAAACATTGTGAACTACATTAGTTTAGGTTGAAGGTAGAAATTACAGTTTACCAAGTTGAATGCCATCAGAGATATTTTTTGACACTAGAATGCCACCAGAGATATTAATCCTTATCACCAATACATAATGTACTTTGGAACTCAAAATGGGATTCGTTTATAGAAAAAGATAACTGTACTAGCCAAAGTGCTATTTCCTATGTGTATCAATACCAATATAGATGCCATTCGAGGTGAAAATGTCATCCCTTCCTTTGTATCATTATTTTGACAATATTTGTAGAATATAGAAAAATAGGCCACCAAGAATTATTTTGTAACACGTGTACATATGTGGAATACCGTTGTTCACCATTACAGAAGCGGAAGATAGAATCCCATAAACAAAGGTGTGCAGGTGTGCCCATGCACAAACACACACTCAAACGAAGCAACCATGGCTAGTCACCCCATGTAGCCCTGTTTTACAAAGCTAGCCTCCAATAAAATATGATAAAAGAACAAACAAAACTGAGAAGAATAGACATATGAAACTAAGGTGTCTGAGCTCACCAACCTCAAGATGGAAGTGATTATCAGCTAGACCTTCTGGTATTATAGGTAAGAATACTAAGAAATACTTGGCAAACATTTCATATTCGCACACATGCACACAAGCACACGCGCACGAGCACGGGCACAGGCACAAACAAGCATGCCTACATGTCCACAATTGTGTGCAAAAATCCATAGAAAATGCACATTCTTATGTGCATGAATGCACGAATAAATGTATTGTAAGTTTATTTTAATTTTGATAGTTTTGTGTGTGTGTGTGTGTGTGTATAATTTACAGACCACATGGAGATGATCAGACGCATGGCCAAGTTCTGATAGAGCTTGGTTATCTAAATCACCATTCTATTGTTCTTAAAACTGCGTAGCAAGCAACATATAACGAAACAATGCTTAATCAAGATTTAAAATAAAACAGAATGCAAAGTAATAAGTATACAGTGGAAAGCAACAAAACCCTGTTCAACCTCAATCCAATTAGACCATTCAACACTCTCTAACTAGAAGCAAAAGCCAATGAGATCAAGGAACTGATGGTCATAGAACAAAAGATTATGGAATGATGAGAACAAAGGGACCTGCATATTGCCCATTAGTGCACAACCCCAAACCATGCAAATAACAATAAAAAAACAAGAAAAATTAACATAATGAAAACCAATCTGAATTAAGTTTCATGATGACCCAGAAACCCAAAAAAAAAAAAATGCAGGATGAATAACATTTGTCATACTTGTAAAACTTTAAAAGCAATGAACATGAAAATCGTAAATCAACCAACTATACCAGGATCACACCATGACAAACCAATAAATAAACAACAACAAGAAAAAGAAAAAAGAAAAGAAAAGTAGATACAGAAACATTTGCACTATCTTCTCAAATGGACACCTCAGAGAGCGAAAAACTCCATCATTTCCATGTAAACAAGATAAAATACCAGAACATCCCCATTAAAAACCTTTTGACAGAGAGGAAGAGGAAAAGGGGCTTATCAGAAGATCAATACAAGGAGAGAAAAATCAACTTCATACGGAATAGAGAGAAACCTAAAGGGCGAAATAAATCCATAAAATACCTGACAATTGAGACTGGAAAGCAGGGCACCATGGGCTAGAAGAGAGAGAAAATGTGTTTCTAGAGAGAGAAAGCTTTGAAAAATTTAGGGCTTTTTGGCGCCCTAGGGCACAGAACTGTCCCTAACAGAGGAACAAATGGATAACGAAAAAAATTGGTGGAAAAAAAGAGCATCGCTAAAATAAAACAGCTTAGTGAGTGTAAAATAACCTCATCTTTCTTTATAAAGACGATATGATCCCAATTCCCCCTCTCTTTTTTTTTTTTTTTGGTACATGAGAGAGTGCCATTTTTTTAAAAATAGGAAAAAATATATAATCTGCAAGACTATTGTTTCTATATTAGAATTAAAATGAATTTATTAGAATATTTGATACGTAACAAGAACATAATTTTTCTTTCTCTGATAATATTCTCCATAATATCATTACTCATGACAATATCATTGTCATCTTAATAATATAGCCACAAGGGTGATAAGCATCCATTCAATAGTTTGGATAATAATGGAGGGAGATGCAGCGTTATTGGTTTCCAAATTTATGAATATTTTTTCACTTTAGATTGGGAAAGATAAATTAGTTAGCAATGGTTAGGGTTATTAAAATGCTGATGATCATTGGAATTTCTAATCCAATTCAGATTTGGTGGGTGGGCAATCTAGGTCTTTGTCCCCTTAGAATATGCCAATTATATTTTTATTTTTTCCCTAATGTTTCACATGTTCAGCTGATCCCGATTAATGATCTAGCTTATCAGATTTACTGTAACCGTAGGGCAATCCACATGGATGATCCAATTTTTAAAACACTTTGTTGAATATCTTTACTATTGTTGAAACTAGTTTTTCAAAAACTGGATTATCTAGGCAAAATAGCATTATGAAAATATTGTCCAGATTGGTGAGTTGGTGATTCAGATCAAGGCAATTATCTGATATGAGAATCAATCCAAAGAAACTTACATAATAGTTTTAAAATTTGAAAATAATAAAAATTAAAATAAGATAAAAGATGGTAATTCGGGATCCAGACTGCCTAAGTCCCTAAAAGACTCACCTGGTTCTTTTATGGAATTGGGTGAGAATCAAAATCAAAGTGATTCTCGGTTCGACTTTTGATTAGTTACCGATCTTCAATCTGGATAGGTGATTCCAATATTATAAGAAATATGAGAGTATTTTGATCGTCTTTCCAATTTTAGCAAAATGCTCTCCCTAGCGTTCCACCATTAAAAGCTGACAACGGAGAGGTTATAAAGGTGCACACAATGTCGTTATGGCGTTACAACCAATATCAATATATACTGCCACCATCACATAACGGAAGACAAAATACGGGAAACCAAACATAACGGCGGCAAAAGACCCAGGGTTGCAAAACGGAAAACGGAAAAGAGGGCGGGGGAAGAGTAGGACGAATTTCAAAATGGCAAGGGTTGCTTAGGGCTGGCTGGTCGGTCCGGCCCTAAGCAACTATGGCGCCGGGGCCATGAAATGTTGTTGTCTAGGGTTGTGTTGTCCAAACCTAGGGTTCTTGAGCCATCCCAAGCCAGCCCTATATTTTCCTAAGATGTTTTTATTTTGGGTCTATTAGGGCACATTTGATAGCTCTGGCTGAGCTCAGTCCGGCCCTATTCAAGCTTGTACCAGGCTAGGCGCCATAGCTGGCCATGTCCATTGTTAGCCTTACCGCGATAGATGCCATTTATTTTAGGGAGTCCAATCGAGTAAAATCCATCTTAGAGATGACTTCTTAAACCAAAATTGTATAAGTCAATTATCTCGACTATTATGATCAAGAATCTAAAAAAATAGTGCACCTTGTACCTATTTTTAAAAAAATTATTTTAATTTTGCAAAAACCATCATATCCAAATTATTTTAGAGCTCCATGGACCTAAGGCAAAAACGAGTTTGTAATGATTGAGTACGCGACACGAGTTATTATTCTTGTGCGTAACAAAAACAAAGACGTTATTCTTTTGAAATGTTCTATTGTTATCGATCTTTAAAAAACTAGAGATCCAGATCGGGAATCAACATTTCAGTTTGAGAATTGGTGTAGACCAACCCAGTTCCCTATCGAAATTAAGAACCAATTTGGTTCTCTTGGAATCAGCCGGTTCAATTAGTGAACATGGTGATTATGTCAGGAACTGGGAGATCTTGACTAGCTAGATCCCTTAGTTCCCATATATGACATTTTTTTTTTTTTTGGTTTTTTTAATTTTCAAGTCTATTTTTTGGAACAAATTATTTTGATAATAGAATTTGTCCTAAAAAATAAAAAATAAAAAATTAATTTTTTTAAAACAAATCTTGCACCAAAGAATTCGCCCGATTTGTTAACCCAAATCAGTAATTTATGATCCGAACTAGATTTCTGACAGGCCATCCGGGTTTTAAAAATAGATTGTAATGGACACTAGGTTCTTTTATTTCCCCTCATAAAAGAGCCCAAGCATAATTGGTTAGCGCTTGACGATTTGTAACATTCTAAGCTCATTTCCTATGATGAGTAGGGGCCCTATCTCCACGTACTCACCCAAAAAACAAGATCTTTTGTTTCCCTCAGGAATTTGAAATGGTTTTTGGAAAAAAAAAAAAGTTACAACCATGTTAAAAACCACATAGCATATTTTATTGCCAAATTTGTTTTCATTTATCAAGACACTTAAAGAACCCTTGCGTAAGGGTTTTTATAAAATATGATTTACTAAAAGATTTAAGGTTTTCAAAATGTTTACTCTACCTCTTCAACTCATAAACACTTAGACACATGTTGACACTTAGAGACATATGGTAATAAAATAAAATAAAAATGCTTAATTTGTAGTTAGAACTCTAGAACTTGGCCTATTATAACAATTTCATGTGTGATATCATATGTGAAACTTATATTATATATGCTAGTATAGTAATTCATTCATAAATAGCAATCGGATGAACACATCTAGCCATATCTATCTCTTAAACTGAATTACTAAACGCTTACGACAACATTCATTAGACATAGAAACTTGTGTTGGTGTCCCATAAAGGGCATTTAGATAGACTTCTCACCCTAAGTAAGCTCTATGAGGGGGAATTTCATGCCGTTCCCAAAAACAAAACGTACCCCACACAGCCAGGGGCTATATATCCATTTATATTCTTCAAAGCAATATCAAGTTCCTTTGTCTCATGAATCATGTAGACTGCTTAGTCCCTATTGGGCTTTGGTCACATGTGCTTCCAATTTATATCCCAATATTTCAAAATTAAATGCAGTTGAGGTTATAACATTTGATAGAGCAAAATAGAGAACCAAGATTTGTATAGCTGATTCCAAATAATTGAAAAAAATGCTCTGATCCTTTTTAACTGTCTCTCAAAAACCACATGCTAGCTCTCATTTATAGGGACTTGATATGCCCAAGCCACCATGCTACTTATAGATGCTGTTAAACACCCCTATTAGTATTGTACACAAAAGGACCATTGTAATCACTAAATAACCGTTCTCTTGGCAGATAAACTGGGTTATTTGTTGAAGCCACCAAGCAAAGTCTTGGTAGATAACCTGGGTTATAAAGAATAGGGAATTTTATGAAAATACCTATGATAGATGACTATTTATAATTTTAACCATTGACAACTATGATCATGTGTTTGCAACTATTCCAACCTATGATCATGTGTCTTTTGATGGGTATTTTATATTAAAAAAAAATAGGCAAAATGTTAAATAGTTCATCTTTTTTAGATATTTCGATAAATTTAACTAAAGAAAATGATAGGTAAAAGCCTTCTAGAACTTCGAAACTTTTCATAAGTTTCCATGCTAAAATCATAGATGCCCACTCGTTCTACCAAATGTATGCTATGCTATCATTTAAGCTCCAAACAGTTTGCTAGCAGCTTGTCAACTCCACGATGTCGATAAAAAACTCACAAGGTGTCACACTCTCTTGCTCAAAGTATGTCTCAACGGAATACGACACATCTACTTGCTATTAACATCATGATCTCAACATTTTGTTTTTGACATTAGATGGTTGAGGAGCTACTAGCACATTGTTCAAAACCAAAGAGCTAGAATAGTACACTTCTCCTTCTATGGTATTTTAACAGCTTAGAACCACTTGAGCAGGCTCGGAGCCGGTAGGGGACTGGTGCGAGTCCCCTATGAAATTGGAACTCTAGGCCCCGCTTAGTACCACTTGAGTGGGCTTGGTTCCAGAGGGGAACTGGAATCCCTCATGAAAATTGAAAAACTAGGCTGGTTACCATTTAATTTATACTAAATTAGTATAAATTACTAAAATACCATTGTTGTAGGAGGATTTACTGAATTGGGATCTGAATTAATCTCAAGATTTGACTCCGAATTATATATATATGTATTTCCTTTTTTCTTTTGGGATCTTCTTGGTAAATCAAACAATTCTCTGTATCTTCTTGAAACATTTTTCATTGGATTTCTCACACTTTGTTCATCTTCTAGCCCATATCAGATCTCTAAGAAATTGCTTTGGATAAAAAATTATTTGGTTGAGATGGAGAAATCAGAAATTTGCTTGTTTTGAGCTCAAATCCCCCCACACCCAAAAAATTGGTCATTTTCTCATATGTATCACCTATTTTGCTTCAAAATTTGTCCAACATGTTCGTTTTGGAGCCCTCTAACAGATATTTATCACAATTCGTTGAGAATTTGATAGGCATATTTTTGAAATCCAATCTCAGATATGTGGATTGCTGAAGATATTAGATTTGATCCGCAACATGTTTTTTATTATTTTAAAGAATTCATAGATTTCAATTTTTTGAGGTGATTTAAATTAAAACCCTCAGATTTTCTAAAAATTACATACTTTTTATAATTGTTATGTTAGATTGTGTTGGGGTTTTTGTTCTAGAGAGTATTAGCTATGTTTTAAAAAAATTTATTTGATGAATTGTCTCTGATTTCTATAATTTTTATTTCCGTATGTTAAATTCTTAGTTTCCAAAAACTAAAAATATTTAATACAAATTTTCCAATTTCGCATGTCTATTTTTCCAGGAGTTTTGAAAGAATCTCTTACATGGATGTATTTAGAATATTTTAATGCTGGATCCAGTAGTTATCTGGGGATCAACATCCAAGT